ATTCTAATTCTATTCTTTATATAAAAAAACTTACCCCTTTTAGACTTGCACTCTATTTATTTACTATCTGCTTCTTTTCTTTAAAAAAAAAAGCTAACACTTGCTTTTCTAATCTTTTTGTATTCTATTTATTTTCTTTTTATTTATTATACAATTATAATTCTGACTTTCTGACTTCTTCTGATTAACAAAAGCAAAAAAGGCCTCTAACATTAGCTTGCTCTATTCTTTTTCTTTTCTATCTGTTTTCTTTTTATTTATTATATAATTTAAAAAAACCTTGCTATGTGTACTGCATTAAGCTAACTGAGACTTGTTATAGCACTTGCATATCATTGCTCTTTTGTTGATTTTGATTGCTTCCATTGTCCTCATTTGTAAGTCGCTTTGGATAAAAGCGTCTGCTAAATGACTAAATGTAAATGTTAATATGTGACCCTGGAGCACAAAACTAGTCATAAGAAGCACGAGTATATTTGTAGCAATAGCCAACAATAAATTGTATGGGTCAAAATTATCGATTTTTCTTTTATGCCAAAAATCATTAGGATATTAAGACGTTGTTCCATGCAGATATTTTGTAAATTTCCTACTGTAAATATCAAAACTTATTTTTTAAATTAGTAATATGCATTGCTACTTCATTTGGACAACTGATTTTCACATTTCAAAAAATTTACCCTTATGACTGGTTTTGTGTTCCAGGATCACATATAATTATAATTTAATTAATTATATAATTAAAATATTACAAGTTTACAAGTTATTACAACATTATTGTTCAAGTTTATAGGAGAATTTGTTTTTTATTTAATTGGTTTAATTAATAAAGTTATGTTACAATTAATTAGAAATTCTATTGAGTGCAATTGCATTTTATAGTAAGCTACAATTTTAATTATTATGTCTCTCGATTGCATTGCTTTCATTGGACTGATGATAAAGCAGCAGTGAGTCCACAGTGGCCCTGATGAACATCCGGGTTTCCCGCTGGCACCGCTGCTGTGGCTCTCAGGAGCCATTTTGGACGCCGTTCAGCTTTTCGCAGATCAATCCCTCCTTCCCCCTCCAACTGCCCCGACAGAGGGGGAGAAACACGCACCAGGACACACACAAGGTGGCTTCGCTTCTACTCCAAGCGCCCAAGCTCACGGTCCAACTGCTGCCGCCTGGTCAGAATGAAAAGCTGGATGTTTGCGGCATCAGGGACTTTGTTTCCGATCCGCGCGCTTCTGAGGGATACACTGTTGTTGTGAAGAGCTCGTGCTGTTATTGTAGCGGGTGAAGAATAGCGCGCAGGCCTTCATTTAATTTCATTCTTAAATGCTTTCGCGGCATAAAGGACACCATTTATCGCCAGGATCCTCGAAGGAAGGAATATGTTTGTTACCTGGCTGACTTTTGCACTCGTCTGGTGCACAGGTAAGGCGCTCATTTACAGAGATTTGGTTCATCTTCAATCAAAACGATAGTATCTAATCATAGTGTGGCTGGCTGTGTTACTTACCCCAGTGAAGAAGCCTATCTAGACAGCGTTCTAGTTCTCACGTGAAGCCCACGATGTAGCTATGTAGGCAGCGCACTAGGTTTTGAGACACAGCCAGTGTTACCAAACCAATCCACTGAGCGTTGGCTTCAATGTAGCACGAATTAGTTGTTCATTCTTTTACCTCATTTTGAGATATTTCGTTATTTAGGTTTGATCCAGCTCTAGTAGGCTGTTTTAAAGTTGCTTGTGTGAGATTTCTTGTTGTTTAAAGGCACCGTGGGCTCAAAGAACAAAAGTAAAACAGCTGGTGGTTTGTTGAAACAATCGATCTCCACAAAACAACTTGCGGTTTCGCCTCATGTTTTCATGTAACGTTTGGTTTCCCAAATTGGTTTGTTTTCATTGCAGGTTTATAAGACATTTCCAATATAAAATACTAAGCATTTTTCATATCTTCTATATTGTCAGTGCATTTAGTTATTTATAATATGTTTGTGATCATTTGTGAACAAACATACATTTATTTTTATTTAAACAATTTTTTTTGTCATGAGCTGCGGTGACAAATTAAGTGTTATTGTTCAAAACAGTGGTGTACTTTGACACAAATTAAATCAAATTAGTTGTAATAAAAATAACAACAACAACTAATATTTTATGCATCAGGTTCAGTGCCAGTGGTGTCAATTTAATAATATTAATAATAATGGGTTGAGCACTGAGTTGTATTTAAAAACAAGGCAAATAAAAATTAGCTAATAATAATAACTTGTTGGACTTTGGTTTAAGTGACAAAGTTGGTTAAAATGTTTATTCAGCTGTGATAAAAGCATCAGGTCAGCTGGTGTAAAAAAAGAAAAAGAGAAGCGAAAAACAAAATATTAAAAATTTGTAGAAAAAAGTTGTCCTTTTTATTTTTATTTTGTGTATATATTAGGGCTGCACGATAAATCGAAATGGAATCGAGATCGCGATTCGACAGAAGCTGCGATTGTTATGCCACGTTTAGTCTAGTCTGTTTGTTTGACCAGTGGACAAAGCGTTGATGTATTGATTTTGATCATTGTTTTAGGGCAGTGTTTCTCAACCCTGGTCCTGGGCGCCCCCCCAACACTGCTCATTTTGTATGTCTCCCTTATCTGACACACCCATTTC